GATGTGCTCTTCATAACTAAAAAAATTGAAAGTGTTTCGGACGATGATTCTAAAACCTTGTAAAGACTGTCGTCATGGTACCTTGCATAGTGATACACAGTAGGTACATGATCAAGAAGTTGCTCGCGCAATCGATACTTTTCGCTTTTCCACATTGTCTACTTTGACTTCTTGTGTCTCACAGGAAGATGACGGAACGTACTTGCTACGAAGAGGAAGTGCAAAGAATTTCGGAATTTGTCAGAAGTGCAAAAGGTTTCATTAGGGCCGATGGGCGACGACGCTGACATAATGCAATCGCATCGAAGTCATTGAGAAGGAAGTTTGCGTTCTTGACTCAATTGATGAGAAAACTCAATTCATGCATAAATAGAGGGATTCAAACCGACATAAAAACTAGTCAAGATCATATTTGCTTTGAAAAGCAACAGAGATCTGTCCTAAGGGATATTTCGGGAAGTTCCTGAACCCTGAAGAGGGTACAGAGCCGATCGTAGACCGGTGAACCATGGAACGAGTGGAGGGCTTCCATACCTTGGGAACGATCTGGTCGCCAACGGCAGTGTGGCCCAGCCACTAAAGGCTCGGATCAACGCAGCATGAAATAGAGGAGTGCCTAGAGAATTTCCTTAGATCATAAGTGCTTCGAACTTAAAGGCAATTGGTACCACGAATATGCATGCAGTGCCATACTGAATGATCTGCCCGCTGAACAAGATTCTCGAAATGAGCTTCACGTGCCACTAGAGGAAGATGCTGAAATATGCTCGGCGGACGCGACTTTGACAGGGTCGGAGTCACTAAGACATGAGCGATATCAACACCTTCTCGATGGTTCGGGCATGTGCTAAGGAGGTCACACGTCCTTCCGATAAAGAAAACGATGGATTTCGTAGTGCAAGGCAAGCGACCGTGAGGAGCCTTCAAACAAGAGGTGGAGGCATCAAAAAGAAGCTAATTAAGTCATCCCTTAGCAGAACATCCCTGACTTCAAAGTGCGACGACTGGCGAAGACAGACGGGCACTTTGAAGTCCAGCGTTTCTTCGTCAGACTTCGCCTTATGACCTCTGCTGGATTATAAGTTGTGACTAATGGATATAATGACAGAGTATTATAGTCCCAGCCATTCGAACGTGGGCTGATTATCACGAGTCTACCTTCGTAAATCGTGAATGCTCTTTGACACTATCATATAGCTTCCTAGAGTTTCAAACTATTTCTTTTGGCCCTGTGCATGCCTTATCTGGCGCTAAGACACGGCGACTACAAATTGTTGAACACTCAGGCTAACATACCTTTGGAATAGGTAACAGTTGCTCCTCGGTATCATCTTTGTAGAAAGACAGGACAGAAGGCGAAAGCGCTCCTCTGATACCTGCTTTGTCGGGCATTACAGGAGCAAATCGAGGACTAAAATGGCAAATTTATTGTGTACTGCCAGCACTGAATTTCCTTCAGCGAGCAATCGCTGAACGAAAGTGAGTGCGGGCAGTACGCAGTAACAGTTCTTGAGCCTTTACACGGCTCATAGGCTCGTAGCACATATGTTCATCGAGATAACGCTTAAAAGGTTTACAACTCGAAAAATAGTTTACCTCAAAAATTTGATGTTGGACGAGTCGCCAATCTCCTTAGACTTTCCTTCGAAAGAATGGATCAAACTGTATGCATCCTGGACAATTGAAGGCACAAGACTCTGCAAGGTTTCATTCTTTGAAAATGTCTGTAAAGTGAGACTGGAATAATTGTCACTCTGGAAGCACAATCCAGCATTCCAGTAAAGTTGAAGAGCCCAAATCATGCAAATTCGTTCATAACTCATCTCGATCAACAGGTTCTATCAGCACACTCACCGTTTTTAATTTTATTTGAGCACCTTTCGAAACGCCTAGCTAAGGCAGACGTCATAGTTTGCGAATCGAGCGATTCGCTAACTTCGCGCGCTTTCTTCTTTTCCATCAGGCTGGTCAAAAATTTGTGCCGGTTCGAGTGTTCAGCTTGATGCTTTGATGCATCACAATTCTGTTGAAACCAAGTCTTTAGCTTGAAAAAAAAAACGCTGTTACATCCTTCTTACATTAAAGGATAATGAGGATCAAGCATTTGCCGTTGATCAATCCCTTTTTGGGATGTAATCTACTTCCATTTGTAATTTCGTAGTTGTGTTTGGCCTATACAATGACTTGCGGGGCCAGCCGATGTACAAGTCAGTGTTTTTATCCTCCCAGACAAGTCTGGTACCAATTAACCGACCCCGGAGGGATGGAAGGCTTGGTTGGCCCGGGCGACTCACGACCCAGGATTTGATCCCCGGACCGCTCGCGTGGTAAGCGTGCCACTTGCCACTACACCACTTCCGCCCTTACCTTCCTGCTTGAATTACTGTTGCGAAACTAGTCAATGCGGGTAAAAATTAAAAATTTTCCAGTCTAAAAACAGCGATTTCGAAATCACTCTTTGGAGGCTGGCTTTGACATTATTTACCTTCTTCATTTTGCCCAGGACTACTTAAGATGAAGTTTGCGGAAGAATTTAAAAGCTCTTTTCTATCGTTTCTCAACACATTGACTACAGCGTGGCGCGGCTGCGCGTCCCACCCATACAACCCCCTTCCTTTCTAGAGTTTGCGACTCCTTCCCAAATTGTTTATGCTTATTATATAGATCACACCATAACTTAATTCTAGACGCAATGTTCTTATTTGTGTTTGTTTTTTCTGCCGTTTTTTTCTGAGGTTGATAGGTGGAACATTTATTCAATCGGCCTAACGTTTCGACAAAATCGTCGTCTTCTGAGGCCTAAACGCGGTTCAAGGTTAAATTCACGATCTAATCCACCAAGCGCCTTATCTCCTCTAGCGGTTCCGACTTCCGCGGGAGTCCACCGAGAAACATAAGCAAAACGAATTTTGAACTCACCCAGGTTCCACCGTTTGTGCAGGACACCATAATGTCTCCTGATTTTAGTAACAGTTAGGAGACGC